AGCTTGAAATTTGAAAAAAAAAAATTAAAAAATAATAAAGAGAGAAATATAATTACGTTGGGATTATATGGAAATGATAATCACTAAAAATGGTTACTAATAGGTATTCAATTTTTCTGGAGAGTTACCAATTCTTCTAATAAGTAATTTTTATCTTTCTTTTGAAGTTGTTATTGCTGATTGCCTTTGAGTTGAGCATGACTCATAGTGACTCTATGAACAAAAGACCTGAAACCTTTTTATAATTATCCTCATTTCTCAAAGTTCATAAGGCATTGAGCACTAATGATCAAAGACCAAATGAACTGTGGATTGACATCAAAGGTATCATCCATGAAAGTAAACAAATGGTCATTACAAAACAGAGGAGGAAAAAACTTAAAATTTATGTCAGAATAGACTGAAAAATTCCAATAGAATATTGAGAAGCCAAATAAAGGGAAGAGATGCTGAAATTAAAAAAAGAGAAGATTTCTAAGGGTAGCTTAAGAAGACAATGTATTATAATAAAATGTGCAAAGAGCTGGAGTCAAAGAATGAAAATGAAAGAAATTGGTTGGCATCTCTCAAACTGTAAAACAAATTCAAGCCTAAAGTGTAATACTAAGAGACACTATGGGGAAAATCCCACATGATCCAGGAAGCATCAAAAGAAGTGGGAGAGAATACATGGAGTCACTGTACAGAAAAGAATTGGTTGAAATAAAAAATTTCAGGAAGTAGCATGTGATAAAGAGCCAAAGGTGATGAGGGCAGACGTTCAAGCTGCACTGAAGGCACTGGCAAAAAAAGGCAGACCCCAGGAATTTATAGAATACCTACCCGCATGTTTCAACTAACAACAGAAGCCCTGGACTTGTTCACTAGTCTGTGTCAGAAAATTTGGAAGACATCTATCTGGCAACTAACTGGGAGAGATCCATTATCTGTTTCAATTCCCTAAAAAGGTGATTCAACAGAATGTGGAAATTATCAAACAATAGTACATTATCAAACAATACCATATGCAAGCAAAATACTGGTGAAGAATCATCTAAAAATGACAACAGTACATTTATAGAGAACTTCCAGAAATTCTGACTGGGTTTAGAAGAGGCCAGGGTCCCAGGGATATCATTGTTGATGTCAGATGGATCCTGGCTGAAAGCAGAGAATGTGTTTTACTGACTATGCAAAGGCATTTAACTGTGTGGATTATAACAAATTATGGCGAATATTGAGAAGACTAGGAATTTCAGAACATTTATGAAATCTATGCTAGACCAAGAGGCTGTTGTAGAAACAGAGCAAGAGAACACTGAAAGGTTTAAAATTAGTAAAGGTGTGTGTCAGGGCTGTATCCCTTCTCCATATCTATTCAATCTGTATACTTAACAAATCATTCAAGAAGCTGGACTTCATTTAGGAAGAAGACTGTGGCACCAGACTGCAGGAAGATTCATAAAAAAAAACTGCATTACGTAGATCGTGTCACTTTAAAGACTAAAATGCACCTGATTTAAGCCACAGTCTTCCCAATCACCTGCTATGCATCTAAGAATTGGACAATGAGTAAGGATAACAGAAGAAGAATCAACTCGTTTGAGTTGTGGTGTTGGAGAAGAGTGCTGAATATCCAGTGGACTGCCAAAAGAACAAATAGACATTCTTGGAGAAGGTGCAACCAGAGTGCTCCTTGGAGACAAGGATGGGGAAGCTTCATCTCACACACTTTGCACATGTTGTTAGGAGGTGGTTCATCCTTGGAAAAGGACATCATGCTTGGACAGGTGGAGGATCAGTGAAGCAGAAGTCATCTCTCAATGAGATGGATTTGCAGTGTCTATGCCAATGGGCTCAAGAGTGCTGGGGATGATGAGACGGCATTTAGGACAGGGTTCAGATCTGCTGTTCATAGGATTGCTAGGACTAATACTTGACCTGATGGCATTTAACAATAAAAAGAAAACAACAAATAATGATGTAGTAAAAAACCTGTTAAATCAAAGATGCCTGAGGATTTCCTGACTGAAGACCTGGAGCTTGATTACTTTCTGAACACATTACTTGTTAGGTCACTAATAAACACCACGATCACGGGATAGGAGAAGAAAAAGAAAAGCAGTCAAGTCTATTTTTTACAAGCAAATTCTACATAGTTTTACAAGATGGTGAAGATATGTCCTATTTAAGGTCAAGTTAATATTTTAACTAAGAAAGACTGAAACTAGTAAGCTGCGTACACACTGTGATGAAGATCAAACCAGGAATTAAAGTGTCTGTGTTTCAGATTCATGGAATTTTTCCTCACAACATAAAAATATTTAAATAGTTCAAAAAAACCCTTAAAAGCATGAATTAAAATTCTATAAAAGGTCACACAGGAAACATCACTGATATATTATGTACTGTTTCTTAACTATGACAAAAATGAAATTTGTTACAGATTGCAATTTTTTTTCTTACCAGTCATCTGGTTTGACAGCAGAAGGATCAGGGATTTTGGCTCTTTCATCCCATTCATCAGGCTTGCTGTCACTGGGATCTTCAATTTCTTTGGGAGGATTAATTGGAGGATCCACATCTTCTAACAGGCTACCTTTATTTACCACTACCTGATCAATCAACACTTCAAATGTATCATCTGGATTCATCACTGGAAAGAATTTAAATATATACACAGATCAGCTTGGATAAATTTTAGAGATAATCTAACAATTAACAGCATCCACATAAACAAAAGAGGTAAAGGTTTTCCCAACCAGAAGTATCAGATCCAAGTATGCTCATCACTATATGGAACTTCTCATTAAAGATTTTATTTTGCTTTAATATGAATTATTTACAGTAATATATTTCTTCCCTAGGATATTTTTTAAAAAGCATATCCAGTAGTTAGACAGCTCAGTTTAGGACTCACATTACCTAGTCATATTAATTCTTTTACAGTAGCACAATACAATCCAATTTTCTTCAGCAATTCAAAGTCTTTTTTTAAAACAATATTGAGCTTACAGAAAATTGCTTTTCCTGAACCACTGAAGAGTAAGTTACGAATCTTACTCATAATCACTTTAACACTTTAATGTACATTTATTTTCTACAAACAAGTCATTGGCATTCTCCTATATAATGCCAATCTGACCACCAACATTAAGAAATTAACACTGATACATGATTAGCATCTAATCCTCAGAACCCATTCAAGCTTTGCCAGTTATTCAAATAATGCTTTTACAATCAGGATTAAATTTGTAGTCAGATACAGATTTTAGTTGTTATGTTCTACTTTCCACATGCTTCTTTTAAGTATACTGTACTTTATTCAAACATAATGTATAACAGGACCATATTAATATGTACTGAATTAATATTTAACAAAATTCTCTGAAAATTATGCTTTTTCAAAGTCCACTTTTAGCAATTACTATTTATTGATATTTAATTAGTGACAACATAAAATATTTTTACTTTTTTTACTTCAAAACAGCTACACCTTGAATACTCAATAGAAACCTACCAATTATACTATTACAGTGAATCCTTCTCACAACTGCACAGGAATCCTAACAGCTCTGTGTATGTAGAGGTAATGTGGATTGATGGTTGTGGGAACGAGCTAATAGCTCAGCTGCTAATAATCATAACACTGGATAGGTTAGTGTCTACCCAGAGGCAACCTGGCAGTCTACTTAGAAAAAAATCAGTCACTGAAATCCTTTTAGAGCATAGTTCAATTCTAACACACCCGAGGCATCTACAAGTCAAAATCACTCAACAAGTAGTCTGTGTTTTGTTTTTAAAATACAAAGCAAGAGAATAAACAGATTATATTTTAAAATTAATTTATATGTCTTTCATATAAGGAAGGAACATAGCAAGGATATTTATTAGTTATTTCTTGACTTTAAATATATTTAAACCTTTTACCAAAGGAAGAGGTAAAACAATTTCCTAGAGAACTTTAAAGATCATTAGCATTTAAAAAAATCAAGAACTCATGCACTATAGTATAAAATATCTGAAGCATGATTTAAAATATTAACATGGACATTAAACAGCATGTTTATTTTCAGATGCATCCAGAGTTCTCCTCACAGGCAAGGATGCTGAGATTTCATGTCATGTCCTTGGGAATGTTATCTGGAGGGACCTACACTTTGACATCCTGCTTGGAAAAGCAGCAAGTTAAGCAAAGGAGAGTGAGTCCCCAAAAGATATGCTGACATAGTGACTGTACTGATGAGCTTAAGCACAGAGGAAATTGTGAGGATGGTACAGCATTTGCCTAGGTTTTTATCTGTTTGTCACAATGTGTCAGAATCAACTCTATAGCACCTAACAACAACAAAAACCTCCCTTCCCTCTTCTGTAACGACAGCATGTCACTGGGTAAAATGTACATCCTGGAAAAAATAAGAAAGATGAAAAAAGCTGCATAACATTTGCTTTCAATAAGCTTTTTACTTTATGTTCCCAACAATGTTCAGAATTAAACTGAAATTTTTTTCAAGAACAGAACTTTGGTATGCTTGCTGACATCAAATAAGATAAATTTGGGCACTGCCTTAACAGATGAAAATCAATGTTTCTGTAACTGCAGTCTTGAGAAAGGGAATAAAATTCATGTCGTTATGGATGGTGCTGAGACAGAGTAAGAAAACTGAGCACGGCATCAGAAATTGCCCTGCTAAATTCTGGCATGCTATGATTTTATGAAATCATAAGTAGACCAAAGGTATGTATACTTCTGAGTAAGGGGAAAATCACCTCATTTTAACATACCAATGTCCAGGCAAAATCTCATATACATGTTGAATAACCATATTCAATGTTTTCCTTTTAAATTTTAAATATGTGCCACAAGATTGTCATTACATACTGCCAAGTCATCAACAACTCATACTAACCCTTATGAACAATGGCTGTGAACCTTGCCCTGTCCTGAGCCAGCCTCACAATGGCCGACACATTAACTCCACAGCCACAGTCACTGTGTTGGTCCATCTCAGCCAGGTCTTGCTCTCTTACCCTGACCTTCTATCCTTCCAAGCTTGATGTCCTTTCCAAGGACTGGCCGCTCCTGACTTAGTAAAAATCACAATCGTCTATGGTGGAAAAAAAAGCCTAATCCAGCATCAGGGCTTTTCAATTTTTAATCTTGTTTTCTAGTTTTCCTGTTTAGACTAGCACTAATTTCACAGAACACAAACTGTCTTGTGTGTGTGTGTGTGTGTGAAGATTAAGTTCAAGTATAATAAATATCCTTTACTACGTTTCCTCTGAGTCTTAAGCTGTAATTCTGGTTTTGTACTGTTAATGGTATCTTTCATATGCTACCACTTTACTTTCTCTTGTGTGCTATAATTATTCATGCATACCCTAGTCTCACAAAAAGTTCCTTAAGATCAATGTTTGTTTTTCCCAAAATACTTGCCATGTTGTATCAATAGTCAGCAAATATTTTTAAACTAATGAGTCAATTAAAAAGAAATACCAAGGGTATAAAGATGTGTCTTCCTGTCTGTAAAGAACTTTTTAAGGTCTACATCTGGAGGTTTGGCATGTTTCTCTTCAAAAACTCCAGTTTTAGGATGCTTATGTCTGAAGATAAAATGAAGTTTATAATCTTCTCCACATTTATCTGGTCCAAACATGATGGTATAAGAAGTTTTATCATAAAAGTTTTCCTTCAAAGAGAGATGAGTATTGAAATTAGTCAAGAATTACAGAGTATTTAGTAAATTTTCTACTCTTTCTAATTGTGTAGAACATAAAGACATACTATTAATTCTCCTAAAACTTCCTATGACAGAAGTAACAGTAAAGATGTGGGGAAATGACAGCTTGTATCTGAAATAATGCTAATCTTTAAAGAGCATAAGTTACTTCCACTTCTGATATTTGATATTTACGAATATCTACATTGGTAAAATTTTATTAACAAAAATAAGTATTAGAGTAAAGCATATTTATGACCTTAAGATTACAGTGATTACTCATTATTTTCATACAGGAAGATACCAGAGGAGGACTCTTCAGAGCACAGAGTGAAGAGAGATTCAGCTACAAAACCAACACAGACATATTCCGTTTTAAGCAGTAACAAGTATGTCTTGGCGTCACGGTTAACAGTATGGGTCCGGCCATTGACATCTGGGCTCAAGTCCTATTAACTATATATAAAGGAGAACAAATTTCTTGACTTTTCTGTATCTCTATTTGATCATCTCTGTATTATGAAGGCAATAGTAACTTACAAGCTTTCTCTTAGAATTATGTGAACTAATTTAAGAGCTTAGAAAGTACTTGGTAGTAAATTTTATTATTGTCACTGTATTTTCAAGTCATCAACACCTAAAAATTACTAAGAAATGCAACATATACTACAAACATTTCCTTTACCTGATCCTAATAATAGTACTTGAACTCTACACTCCATGTTTCACAGCCTATACTTAGACATATGCTGTCAGTAACTCACTGACTGATATGTTGATTCTATTATTTCTGTTATATGTAGAAATCCTGACATAGCCTCTTGTAAGAAAATGTTATTAGAAATGTTCTTGGCCTTAAAGTATCATAAGCAAGCTCTTAGACTTATAAATCTACTTTATTTAATGACTGCTAAATGAATTTTTGGAATCTTTTGTAGGCTGCCAATTCCTAAACTAGACCCAGTTTATTTGTTTCTTAGCTCATTTCCTTTCACCGCTTTGCTACTTACTTTACTTCTATGAACAAACTTAAGATTTTTATTTTGAAAAGAATTTTAAACTAATTTTAAATTTAAATTTACCTACTCATGTCACTGGGAAACTTTTTAACATTACTAAAGGTTATGAAATTGATGACAGCAAGTGACATAAATTTACAGTCATCTTGAAAACAAAAAAAGCTATATACATTGGTATTAGAAAAACCTTTCAAAGTCTTTTCAATTTATTTGAAAGTTAAATTTTCAGTTTTATAGAATACTCTTTAAAATTATTTACTAACTTAAATTTTTTTTAAATATTAAAATATCATACCAGATCCAAATCATCAGTGTCTGCTAGGAGTTTAACGTATGCACCTCCACAATCAATACCATCCTGAAAATTTACTTCATATCTAAATGAAGGGGGAAAAGAATTATGCTGCTGATAAACAGAAATTACTAATTGTTCTCTAAAATTTAATGCATTATTTTCAATTAATTTACACTAAATGTTTTGCATTACAAATAATATACTCAATATCCACAATTTACATACTTTTTCTACTACTACAACATATTGTATATTAACTATAAAATGTTATGTTTAAATAAATTTTAAAAATCAATTTATTGGAATTTTTTTTTTTGTTTTCAACCCAAACTACCGAATTAAGTAAGTAGAAAATACTTTGACCAAAACTACAATAAGAAACTTTAAATTCAGGTAAAGTTGTTGTTAGATGTCATCGACTTTATTCTGAGTCATAACAACCCTGTGAACAACAGATATGAACTCTGCTCTATCCTGCACCACAATCTGTCATGCTTGAGCCCATTGGTTCAGTCACTGTATCAATCCATCTTGACGGTTTTCTCTTTCGCTGACTCTCAATTTTCTCCAGTAAGACGACTCTCCAAAGACTATACACAATATTCTCTCTAAACAAAAATAAATATAGACTACAACTACAGAAAAAGACCTCGAGGAAACTGCTAATGACCTTGCATATCCAATTCATTATTAATTTTCATTCCAATTCAACTGTACCTAAAGCATTTTAAGTCAGTTATATGTTCAATTAAATAGTTCTAGCATTTCATGGGCTTTAACAACTCAGAGGTTCTTGACATTAAGGTGAGTCTGATATAGGCCATAGTCTTTGCAATCACTTGCTATGCATCAGAGAACTGGACAATGACTAGGGATGACAGAAGAATTGATGCCTTTGAGCTGTGGTGCTGGGAGTACTGAATATATCACGGTCTGTTAGAAAACAAACAAGTTCGTCCTGGAGAGGGTGAAGTCTGGCTGCTCCTTGGAGGCAAGGATTCTGAAGCTCCGTCTGACATACTTTGAACATGCTGCAAGGTAGGATCAGTCCTTGGAGAGGGACGTCATGCTTGGGAGGGTAGAGGGACACAGTAGGAGAGGAAGACCCTTGATGAGATGGATTGATTTCTGTCACTGGTGTAATGGGGATAGGTGTGTTGGAAACAATTAAGATTAGCAAGGGATAAAGCAGGGTTTAGGGCTGTTATACATAGGGTCGTTATGAATCATAGGCAACTCGATGGCACATAACAACAACAAGGTAGAAAGTAGTGTTTGTATTTTTCCTTTTAGCTTTGGTTTTTTAATCTGAATCTTATTGGCTTTTAACCGTGTATTTAATTTATAGTTCTGTTTTAATTTTACAGCAGTGTATGAGAAATAAACTTAAAAAGTATATGCTTTTTTTTAAAATGAAGGTAAACAATGAAGCACTATCAGAACAAAACTAGCTGATGCTAATACCTGGGACAGAAGAATGTCTGAAAATGCATGTTTTTTAATAGGGTACCATGATAGACAGAAAGTGCCCTTTGTATTTCCTTTTTGAAGTAAATTTTCTTCTTAAATATTATGACTGGTAAATATCTAAGGCCCAATTAATTTTAGAAAATAGTTAAAATGGCTATTTTCATAAACACTATGTAGTTTATAAGGGAGCTCTGGTGACCTAATGGTAAGCAGTTGTACTGCCAACCCCTAAGGCAGGCAGAGGGAGGCCACAGCAGTTCCACAGGAGAAAGATGGTCAAACTCTTCCCTTGATATTGTTATTGACTGCTTTTGAGTCGAGCATGACTCACAGCAACCCTATGAATAAAAGGCCTGAAGCCTTTCTAAAACTATCGACCTTTATCAAAGTTCAGAAAGTTTCCAGAGGCATATTGTTTAGGAAATGCATTCCAATCCCGCTTTGATATTACTGCCTTTGAAAACTTGCTGGAAAGTCAGGTATAAGTTTGTTCCAAGTTGACGACACATAAGAACAACATAGGATATTGTTTATGATAGTCAAATTTTACAAAATATAGTCTACCATCAAGAACATATTTAAAGTGTTTAAGAGCAAAAATGTCAACTTGAAGACTAAGGTGTGCCTGATCCAAGCCATAGTATTTTCAATTAATTCTTATGTACCTGAAAAGTGAGCAATGAATAAGGAAGACCAAAAAATCAATGCCTTTGAATTACGGTGCTGGAGAACACATGGTATTGAATATTGCATAGAATGACAAAAGAGCACACAAATCTATGTTGGAGGTACAACCAAAGTGTTCCTTAGAAGCATGGATGGTAATATTCTGCCTCACATAAGGAGGGGCGAGTCCCTGGGAAAAGTCATCATGCTGGGAAAGGTGGAGAGTCAGCCAGAGAAATGAAGACCCTCAATGAGATCGATGGACACAGTGACTCAACAAAGGGCTTGGGCAGGGTAGAAACTGTTGAGGGGGTGCAGGACAGGACAAGATTCCCATCTGTTGTTGATAAGGTCAATATGAGTTTTTGTTTACTCCAAGGAAAGACCTAACAACAATAATACAATTAATGTGTCTCTCACTCAAAATTTTCGAGTGGGACTGTGCATGTGATGGATTAAATTGTATCTTCCCAAAATATTTCCCATAATCATAGCTGGGCCATGATTCTTAAGAGGTCTGGTAAGCACATAATGGTGTAATGTGGCAATTATATAATGATATAATAATTTTCTATGATAAGATCTGATATAATCAGTCTTGCTCGCATGTAAGGGGTTTCCTCGGGGTATGGCTAAGAAAGAAGTGGGGAGAGAAGTGAGCAGACTTAAGAGTGACCTACTACCACCAAGAAAGAAGAGTTGGGATTGGAGCACATCCTTTGGACCCAAAATTCCTATGCTAGAAAACTTATTTAACCAAAATACATACACAGAGAAAGTTTTCTCTTTGAGCCAGCACTCTGAATTCAAATTCTAGATGTCTAAACTGTGAGAAAACAAATTTCTATTGGTCAAAGCCATCTAATTGTGGTATTTCCACAAAAACATACTAGATTACAAGTTGGTTTTGAAACTTAGAAAGGAAAATAGTGTCCATATTTTACAAATAAAGTTGTATTCAAGAATGAAATTATATAAAAGTTACAAAATGTAGAAAAGTATTCAGAAACAGTAAAACTTACTGAACGATCAAAGGTTTATCCGCAAAAATAAAGGGTTTGGCTAATACAGCAGAGATTGCATGATGCTTTGCTCTAGATTTTAATACCAGGCCTCTGTCCCCAGGTACTTGGTTTTCTTTCAATTCTTCAATTTCCCATCTTCCTAAAATAGAAAGGTAACAGAAAAGACTGATTTATAAATCATGTATCAGTCTAATTTAGCAAAAATTAAATACAATTTTAAGTTAGAAAATAATGTATTTGCAACTGCTAGAGTGCCTGCTTTTTTATTTCTCCAATTGAAGAACAGTTTCATTCACTTAGCAAAAATATTAAAAACATATAAGATACACCATAATATCTGACTAAGGTGCTTCTAAATCTGGTTTGGTTTTATATTCTTTAAGAAATTTTCTAATCAATAGAAGTACAAAAGAATGATTTGTTGCATACAGTCTATTACTATTGCATATTTAAAGTGAGATGGTGAAAAATTATGTATGAGACAAAAGGTATCCTTAATATAAAATGAGCAGAGTGCCTCAGTCAACATATTTTTAAACATGTGGTATTAATCACATATCATTACTACTCCACAGTACACACTGTAGAAATTTAAATTTTATTTTGAATATTTTATACTCAAATCATGTAAATTACCATCACCCTTTCTCAAACTAAACCAATCAGTTCTCAAAAACTCTTGGTCAAAAAAGACTCAAAATACTGTAATAATGAACAGCTGAGTTATGCTCTTGCTAGGCTTCAACTTAGGATCAGAAACTTTGTGAAATTAGATCATGGACTTTGTTGTTGTTGTCATGGACTATATACAATACAAATGCACTTAGGTTTAGAGTGGTATACTGGACCTATGAATCAAGAGTGTTTGAGGGATTTTTGCCTATCAATGTTAAAATTTATTGAGCTTCTAAATATATTATTTCTTAAAGTGTCCACGTTCCCTTTCCCCTCTAATTCTGTTGTATTAGCCTTTCCTCCACTGGGAGAAATATGGGCAGGCTCCTCTCATTCAGATTTACAGCCTCACAAATCTAACAGGAGGTTAATTTAACCCAAAGGCAGTGAGTCTGGAGGGTTTTTTTTTTTTTTGAGTCTGGAGGTTTTTTGAGACTTTACTTAAAGAAGTTCTTGAGGAATCACGATTATATAAACTGCCTGTACCCAAGCACATTAACGCTCCCTTATTAGGCTCATATTTAGTTACTCAGGAGAAAACTTATGAGTTTAATTCAAGTGGTACTTAATAGGCATGATTAATTACTGTGACATCTAAATTAGTTTTAAAAAAATCTACTGCTCTCAATCAATCACTATGTATACAGCAGTGCTATTATCAGTACAAAAATAACATCATTTAAGAAAGTAGAAATTAATAAAATCTGTATCCTGTAAAACTACTTTTAAAAAATGAAAATGCCAGTCATAAATCAGTTACACTAATATGCTAGAGAATTATTTACTTGGATATTTAAGATGGCATACTGAACTTGGATGCTAAGAAGTTTGATTTTTAACTTCAAGTAAGAGAAAGATTAAATTCTAGAAGAAAAGTTTTATCTAGGAAGAGAGATTTAAATTCATCTGTAAGATAGACTGTATCTTAATTGTAGGGATACTCCACTGATTCATTCTTCTAAAACACAAATGTGAAACTAGTATCTACTCAAAGTTCTTGAAGAAAGCTGTAAACTTACCGGAACACAGGTATTTCAAAGCCAAACTTCCTGTTTGATAGTGTATTTTTGGTGTTGTTGATTGCCGTCTAGCCGAGTACAACACACAGTGACCCTATGAACAAAGGCCTAAAGCTTTTCTGTAACTATCGTCGTTTATCAAAGTTCAGAGAGTTTCCAGAGGAAAGTTGTATAGGAAGTGGATGCCACTCTTGCTTCCAACTGACAGTGTATTATTTCTCTATAATTCAGACATCACTGTACCTCTGAAGTTTTTTTTTTAAAAAAATTATGATTCTTTTTAAAACTTTTTATTTTAATTGAGGTTTTCTTCCCCCTTTTTATACCGGTTAGTCAGATCCAGCTGGTACAGGAGGAAGTTTGCTCCTCCTTCTCCAGCGGAGCATTTAGTGGATTCCAAACAAGAGCCTTGGGGATTGCAGTGCAGCTTCTTGCCACTAGGCCAACAGAGCTCCCTAAAGATTTTTTATTTCTTTAGAGAAAGTATTCTTTCCCTAAATGGAAATGAGACTGCATATAATGTTGCTTGATCTGCATATATGATAATGCTATTTTGAGGTATAAAAATGGGGACTTTCTGAGATGGTTAAGACTACAAAGAAAAACGTACAGGCCTATCTTTATTTCAGACTAAAACAGAAACTAATAAAAGGAAATAGACAGTGGTACTTTCAGAACACCACCAAGCAGTAGTATCTATCTGGTGTTGTTCTGATGTAACTGTCTGAAGAGTCTGAGGCTAAGACAAGGTCTTCTGAGAGGACATCCCCACTATCAGTCATTTTGAGAAGCAGCTGATCTTGATTCTGGATGTGGTAAGTGAAGATGCTAGCTTTGTACCACAGGGAAGATGTAATTCTTTTCTTATGGAGGAAAAAAAATTGACTCTTGTTTATAAGTAATTTCTGTAGCTACGTTTAATGATACTGTCATGGAGACACGGTATACTTCATGGAAACATGAGAACATAAATTTTTCTGTTTTATCTTTGATCATGCCAAAAATCTTGTCATACCAAGCTCGGGTGTTTGAGTGAATTGCACTGCCAACGTACGTGTAGGGAGGTAATCTGAATTCACCAGTAGCTCCTTTGGGACAAAGATGGGCAAGCTCCTCACTTGTGACACAGCCTCTGAAAACCCGCCAGAGGGTCACCTGTAAGTCAGTTTTCTGATTTGATAGCAGAGAGAGAAAGAATGAAAGGGGATGCTGAGGAAGGAAGGCTAGAATTTGGCCTAGCTGTACAAGTGTTAGAGATAAAACTGTAAAGAACAGCATTAGCCTGTAAAATACTGACTTAGGAAACACAAGAGACTAACAACACTGGAGTATAAATTCAGCTCTTCAGAGTCAGAAATACAGATGCGGCAAAGCATAGAGTACTTGAGGATTTCCAGAAATACTGAAGAAGGGACAGGATAAAAGAATGAATATTCTCTTGTGAAGCAGGATGGGACTTCAGCCAAATACGACTAAATGGATAAATCATCTTCAAGAGTGCTGACTTCTGGGTCACACTGGTTATGTCTAATGTTTAAATAAATATTTTACCGTCATATATAGAAATCTCTGCATCTGTGTCATCTTTCTTTGCCTTTGATAAGACCCACCTGTAAAGAAAGGTAAAATCAAATGCATGCCATTAAAAAAGAAATCTAGTAATTTATAGATACATGAATATTAGAAGCACAACAAAAGATTACCTAATACTACCTAATAATATTACCGAATATTTATTTTTCTCATTATTTAGAGGCTAAGTAAGAATAGCTATACATATTCTTCAAAGGTAGAGTCAAATAAAATCTGAAATCTTCCATTTGCTAGCTGTATGATCACAGACAAGGCATACTAAACACCAGTCCCGATAGGTACACAAAAAGGAGAGAGTACTTATCTAACTAGTTAGGAGGGTGTCTAGCATAATATGAAGTAAATATTAACTTTAATTCTTTTTACCAATATTTACGATGCTATTGTAACTCAAAATTGTCATGGAAATTGTACTGGTAATGTCCTAGAGAATATACTTTTTTTATATTCAAAATTAACTTACATATTTTCATTGAGCAAACGAATAAATATTTGAATTAAACATGGCTTAGAGAGGTACACCCTCTCCACCAGAGTACTCCTTGGAGGCAAAGATGACAAAGCTTCGTCTCACATACTTTAGGCATGTTGTTAGGGAAGACTAGTCCTTGGAAAGGGACATCCTGCTTTGAAAGTGAAAGAGAGAGAAGACCCTTAAGGACTGACTGCTGCAATGGGCTCAAGTGTGTCAGAGATGTTGAGGACGGTGCAAGGCAAGTCAGAGTTCAAATCTGCTGTTCATAAGGTCACTGAGTTGTATTTGACTTGACGGCACCTAACAACAATATTGACAAAAAGAACTCTTGTTGTGTAGTCTACAGGAAATTTGTGCTGCTAACACCAAGGTGGTTTGAATCCACCAACTGAGTCATGGGAGAATGACAGGCAATCTCCTCCTGTGAGAGTCCTAGCTTGAAAACCCTAGTGGAAAGTCCTTTATGAGTCATTCTGACTTAATGGCAATGAGAAAGACATCATTAACAAAAATATGTTAAGATGCTAGTTTATAATGCCAATAAGTAAAATACTTTTAAAAATTTCATAGTTCCTTAGTAGAGGTAATTTTCATAGGTCAATAACCAATAACTTCAAAAAGCTAATCAAATCAAGGAAAACACTTTCTTGAACTCACCCAGTCAACCTTCCAGAATCAAAGGTTTCTGTAAAATATGCTTCACCTATAGGTTGAGGTGTCTTATATTTAATCTAGAAAATGGATTAAATATAAATTAGATTTTAAAACATCTAAGGTTATTATCTTTTAAAATATTTAAATTAATATAATGAACTAAAATCCGGATGTGCAATGGACAGATAAGTAATGCAGATATTATGAGGCACAGCCTCTGATTTCAATCCTTTGTATTCTAGTAGTGGTAAGACACAAGAAACTATAAGAAACACTATTAGAGATGGTCTTCTGACACATTTGACCTTGCCTTGAAAAAAAGATTTTAACAAATAACATTTGAGGATCAAAATCACTAAAAAAAGGGGTAAAGTACTTCTAATAAAAAGCTCAATAAGTATGTAGGACAGTTAGAAACTACCTCTTCAATATCACACTGAGGTAACAAGAAGACTTAGAAAATTAGGAATCCAGGGGTGAAGGAAAAAAGATGGTATGGAAAGAAAATCTATGATAGGCACTTGTAAGCAGCAAAAACTAATATTTTCTGAATAATTTTTATTTGATGAGTGACGAGTCTCCCTCTGATACCGATGCAGCATTCCTCTCCACGAAGTCTAGCTTCTCAAATATTTTGCTCAGCATACAGATTGAATAGGTAAGAAGACAGAATACAACCCTGACACATTCCCTTCCTAATTTAAACCATGTATCTGTGTTTCATTGATTATGCAAAGGCGTTTGACGGTGTGGATCATAACAAACTGTGGCTGACTCTGAGAAGAATGGGAATCCCAGAACATTTAATTGTGCTAATGAGAAACCTACACTTGGACCAAGAGGCAGTTGTCAGAACAGAGCAAGGTAACACTGCATGGTTCAAAATTGGGAAGGGTGTATGCCAGAGATGTGTCCTGTCTCCATACCTTTTCTACCTGTATGCAGAGCAGATATCCGAGAGGCGGGGCTCTATGAGGAGAATTGTGGCATCAGGATTGGTGGAAGATCTATTATCAATCTGCGTTATGCAGATGACACAACCCTGCTTGCTGAAACTGAGGAGGACCTCATGCACTTGCTGTGAAGGGTCAAGGACTGCAGCCTTCAGTATGGACTGAGGCTCAATGTCAAGAAGACAAAGATTCTCACCACTGGACCAATTGGTAGCTTCAGGATGGATGGCAAAGAGATTGAGATTGTTCACAGCTTCAGTTTGCTCAGCTCCACGGTCAACACTCTTGGCACCAGCAGTCAGGAAATAAAAAAACGTATTGCGATGAGAAAGTCTGCTGTTAGGGACCTATCTAAAGTACTCAAGAGCAACGGTGTCTCTCTGCAGACTAAGATGAGCCTGATACAGGCCATGGTCTTTGTAATCACTTGTTATGCATCAGAGAGTTGGACAGTGACTAGGGAGGACAGAAGGAGAATTGATGCCTTTGAGCTGTGGTGCTGGAGAAGAGTGTTGAATGTACAATGAACTGCCAAGGAAACAAAAAGATTCATCCTGGAGAGGGTTAAACCAAGCAACTCCTTGGAGGCAAGGATTCTGGGGCTTCGTCTGACATACTTTGGGCATGTTGCAAGGAGAGACAGGTCCTTGGAGAGGGGCATCATGCTTGGGAGGATAGAGGGATGGCGCAAGAGGGGAAGACCCTCCATGAGATGGACTGATTGACTGAGGTAATCGGGATGGGTGTGTCAGAGGCAGTGCGATTGGCACAGGATAGAGCAGGGTTTAGGGCTGTTGTACATAGGGTCGCTATGAGTCGCAAACCACTCGACGGCACATAACAACAGCAACAACACTATTCCCTTGCTTGCAGTGTTCCACAATAACCTCTTGGTCTAGTTATTGGTTTCACATGAGCACAATTAAGTGCTCTTGGATTCCCATTCCTCTCAATTTTAGCTATAACTTGTTATGATCCACAGTCAAATGTCTTTGCATAGTCAATAAAGCACAAACAGACGTTCGTCTGGTACTCTTTACTTTCAGCCAAGACCCACCTGATATCAGCAATGGCCAGCTGAGGCCTGGTCTCCTCTTCTTTTTCTTAAAAAAAGCACTAAATTTATTTTTTTCATTTTAATTGTGATTTTAATGACAGCTTACAGAAAAGTCAGAATTTTCATTCATTCACTGTTGCACAGCCTCTTCTAAATCCTGCTGAACTTCAGGCAGTTTTTTATCTATGTACTATTCTAGCCATTTTTCAATTATCTTCAGCAGTATTTTGCTTGCATGTGACATTAATGATATTAATTCAATAGTTTCCACACTCTGCTGGATCACCCTTCTTGGGAATGGGATCAAATACGGACCTCTTCAAATCCATTGGCCAGAGAGCTGACCTCCAAATCTTCCTCAAATCCAAATGAGCGCATCCAAGGCTGTATTTGTTAGTTAAAACAAGTCAGTGGTATCCCATAGATTCCAAGGGAATCTTATTTTTTTTACCAGTGCCTTCAATGCAGCTTCCACTGTCTTCTTCATTACCACTCGTTCCTACTCATTATAGTACTTCCTAAAATTTTTCAGTGTCAGTTCTTTGTGGTACAGTGATTCTGTGTACTCCCCCATCTTCTTCTGATGCTTTCTAGGTCATTCAATATAATGTTCATAGCATTTTTTAAATATTACAACTCAAGGCTTAAAACTGTTTTTTAGCTTTTTCAGCTTAAGAAATACAGGGCAAGTTCTTTCCTTTTATTGTCAAATCTCAGCTCTCTGCAAATTCCATTACAATACTTTATTTTGTCTTCTTGAGCTGCCCTTTCTTTTCAACTCTTTTACTTCTGGATGGTTTTTTACCCCCTTTGTTCAGCTTCTCGATGCTCTAGTGCAATTTTTAGTCTCTTTTGACATACATTTCAGTTTTTTCTTTCTCTTCTGTCTTTGTAATGACCTTTTGCTTTCTTCACAGATGGTATCATTTGATATTCTCCCACAACTCATCTAGTCTTCAATCAGTGGTGTTTATTGCTTCAAACCTTTTAAGATTATTTTGAAATTCAGATGGAATGTATTCATGATCATATTTTGGTTGTCATGCACTTATTTTCTTTTTCTTCAGCGTCAATTTAAACTTGCACATGAGAAACTGATGATCTGACCCACAGTTGGCTTCTGGCTGAGTTGTGACTACTGATATTGAGGTTCTCCAATGATGCCTTCAACAGATGTAGTCAATCTGATTCCTATGCAGCCCATCAGGTAATATCTATGTCTAAAGTCGCTATTTTTGTGTTTTCAAAAAGGTTAACAGTTTTAGTTTACTTGGTTCCTCAGTCAACACTCTTGGTAACAGCAGCCAGGAAATCAAGCAACAAATTGCATTGGGAAAGTCATCTGTGAGGGACCTCTCAAGAGTAATGAAGAGCAACGACATCAGGCTGGAGACTAAGGTGCGCCTGATCCGGGCTATAGTCTTCACAATTACGTGCTACGCATCAGAGAGTTGGACAGTGAAGAGGGATGATAGAGAATTGATGCCTTTAAGCTGTGGTGCTGGAGAAGAGTGTTGAATATACCATGGACTGCTAGGAGAACAGGTTTGTCCTGGAGAAGGTGAAGCTGGAATGCTCCCTGGAGTCAAGCATTCTGAAGCTTCGTCTGGCATACTCTGAGCATGTTGCAAGGAGGGACTGGTCCTGGAAGAGGGACATCATATCTCGCAGAGTGGAGGGACAGTGCAGGAAAGGAAGACCTTTGATGAGATAGATCAATTCTGTGACTGGAGTGGTGGGAATGAGTGCATTGCAGATGGCGAGGTTAGTACAGGACAGAACAGCATTTAGGGCTCTTGTAAACAGGGTCACTATGAGTCGCAAGCAACTCAATGGCACATAACAACAACATTGGAAATTAATAAATCATTGGAAATAAAAATTTGATCATTCTATTTCCAGCCTCCTTTCTCTGACCATGCCCATATTTTTCAACTACTATCCCCTCTTCACTGCTTCCAACCTTTGCATCCCAGACACCAATTATCATTAATGCATTCTGACTGCACGTTTGGTCAATTTCAGACTGTTAAGATTTGGTCAAAATTCTCAATTTCTTCCTCCTGGGCTCTAGATGCAGGAGCATATACCTGAATAACAGTCATATTAATGGATCTTCCCTATACACATATGGATAATATCCTATCACTCACAACACTGTATTTCAGGATCACACTTGAACCTTACCTTTTAACTATGAATGCAACAATCATTCTTCTGTTTTTTATTCCCAGCATAGTATACCATATGATTATCTGATTCAAAGTGGCCAAAGCTAGTCCACCTTGTCTTACTAATGCCTAATATGTTGATGTTCATGCATTCACTTTATTCATAATTTCCAGTTTTCCAGCATTCAAGCTATGTATAATCCATGTTCCACTTACTAAAGATTGTTTGCCATTATTTTTCTCATTATGGATGACATTCAATTTGGGCTCTACCACTACTACTATAACTAGCCACATTTCTCTACTGTTCATAGGGTTTTCAGAAGCCTGTTATTTTAAGAGGTGGATGGTCAATCCTGCCTTGCTAGTCTGTCTTAATCTGGGAGCTTTACTAAAATCTATCCACCATGAGTAACCCTTGTGGCATTTGGCACACCAATGGTGTGGCATTTGACACACAAGTGGTTCAGCTTCCAGTACCACAGAAACCCACACAAGGTATCTCAATATAGCAAACTGACAGACGAATGCTGTACAACTTAGAACAATGTTCTCCTCAAACACAACAAACTGGCAATCAGGTGCATCAATAACCTGCATTTTGCAGACAGTAAAACCTTGCGTCCTGAAAGTGAGGATTTGAAGCACTTGTTGTAGATAATCAAAATAATACAGCCTTCAATATGGATTGCACCTCAATGTCAAGAAAACAAAGATTATTATCACTGGACCAACAAGCAACCTCATGATAGAGAAAAGATTGAAGCTGTCAACAACTTTATCTTGCCTGGATCCATAATACCCTTAGTGCCAACAGTGAGAAAATCAGGAGATATATTGTACTGGGAAAGTTTGCAGTTAGAGACCTCTCTAAATTATTGAGAAGTAATGGTATC